CACATACCAAGGGACCCCCTACAAGCACCCATGGCATCAGGACTTTGCTCCCACTGGTGAAGCCACCAGATGAGGGGGGAGGGCGGACACCCGGGAGCAGCGCCCAGTCGGTGACAGAGGGAGCCGCAGGATGGATACCCAGCTTGACCCTTAGTGGACAACTCAGAGGTGGGGCTGAGCCACGTGGCCCGCAGCAGTACCCCGCTAAGTAGGGCGCCTTTGACGGGCTCCCCTCCCGTGGCTGTCTCAGTCCCCGCCTTGTCACAGCTCTTCCCCGGCCACCTGCCAAGCGGGCTCCTCCGCGGGAGCGCGGCCCGGCGCTGGCACCGCCCTCGTGCTGCTCAGCCTGCAGGGGTGGCCAGAGCACGGGCCGGGGTAGCGCCGCTGGCCCGGCCGCACGCCCCTCTTCGCGCCAGCGCCTCGGGGGCTGAACAGGGAGAGGGGCCCCCTCTTCCCCTCACCGAGGCTGCGGAAACCCTTTGGGCCCCGTCAAAGCTCGCGGCGCCGGGCCCTGCGGCCCCCAGCGAACCGGAGAGGGCGCCGCGCCGGCCCCCAGGGGACACGCAGGACGCGCCGGCCCCCGGGGCCTCGGCGCTGCCCCTGCTCGGCTGCGCGCCCCCAGAGGGGCGGATCCCCGCCGGGCCGTCCGAGCTTCCCCTTCCCCTGGCAGCCCAGAAGGGCCCACAGGTCTTTCAGCTCAGACAGTGTCCCCCAGAGCGGGAGACGCTCGCCTCCTTTCTCTATAGGAGTCGTCCTGGTGCCCCTCGCTGGGTTGCAGGGTGACGTCCCCACGGAAGAGGGAAGAGAAAATGAAGCGTCACCCCCAAGAGGCTGATGACTCACGGCTCCTACAGATTCAGACCTCTCCCCTCGCACCAGGGAGGGGGACGTCCGGTGAAGACGCCAGAGCATTTCTGCCCCCTAAGGAGGCCCTGGGGAATGGTCTGCTGGCCACTTCGCGGCCCTCGGGGCTCTGGGAGTTCTGAGTGCCCACCGTCCTGAGCCTGCGGCTCTCCCCAGAGCTCTGAGGTAACAGCATAAGCTCCAGCCGATGTCCCACAATTCCATCTGTTACTGTTATTGTGACTTTCACAGCCATATTGAGCATATTTAATTCCTCTTCCAGGCAGTCCTCCCAGCTTAGGCACTTGTGGAAACGTGGTCACTTCTTCTTACCTTAGTGGCTCCAACCTCTAACTTCCTGATAGTCCCCAGAGTCTCACTCAGCTTCCAAGCCTGAGATTCCCAACCCTGGCCAGCACTAGAAATTTCTGTAGTTCTGAGAAGTTGCTCAAGTGATGCCACCTTGGGGGTGGGAGGGTTTATATACTCGTATCTATATATGTAGATGATCTCTGGAATCTATAAGGGGAAAGGAAGTGGGTGGTTGGAGGGTAGAAGTATAAGATTTATGTTAATAATAATAGCTATCACATTTTCACTTACTATGCGCCAGGCACTTTACATGGAGTAATTGATTTAGTTATCATAACTCTCTGTGGTGGACATTATTATGATGCTTATGTTACAGATGAGGAAGCACTGTTTTAATTTTTTACCTTAAGCTCGCATTACCTACCTAAATAAATAGAGATGATGGATAAACGGACGGATGGACAGATTTCAGCTTCTCCAGGTGAGCCTATCTCACATCCCCAGTGGAAAGCCTCTGTCCTAAGGTTACCATTCCCGCCCCAATGAGTACCAAGACTTTCCAGAAGACCCCTGAGGGAGGAACAGGAGGTGAGAGAACCCCTTGCCATGAACTCTACCTACTGAACTCTACGAGACTCGGTGCTCATGAGGCCTGGACCAGCTGGTTAGACGTTATCGTCTCCCTCTCGATGAATCGTCTCACTGACAAATGGCCTGGGGTGAGGTCTGTGAGTCACTCTGGACAATGACTGAAGAGAAGATGGGCCACCAAGCAGGGCTGGAAGGTGGGAGGAGCTCATGTACATTGTACTGGGCCGTGGGCGTGGGGGGAGGAGCTCATGTACATTGTACTGGGCTGTGGGCGTGGGGGGAGGAGGCCCAGCTCCCGCCATAACTTGGATTCCTCATGGGAACGAGGAAAACACTTGTGCATCAGGTGACTTCACTCGATTACAGCTGAGAACAAATGAGATCATGTCTGTAAACTCCTTCAAGATCTTCACAGCCAGTGAAACCCCCTCCAGTTCACCACTAATTCCAAGTTTGCAGGTGCTGCAAAGTCTTTCCCTCAATCCGGCCTCCCAGCAGAGCCGCCCGCAGACCCAAATGCGGGAAGTCAGTAGATGGTTCCTTTTGCATGAAATAACTGTTACTTACCTGAGTTTAGTGGATACAGTGAGGCTCCACCTACTCCAAGGGCCACTGGGAACAGTTGTGTGACCTTCCGTCGATCAGTTGACATTTCTGGACTCCGGTTGTCCACCTCCCTCTCTTTTCATCTGTCAGCTCTGCTTTCCTCTGTTTCAACCCAACGCGGACCAAGCTCTTCCAGCGAGGTGGCCAGGTGACTGCCTGAAGCCGCGGTCTGCATCCTAACCCTTGGCGCCCCTGTCATTTTAACAAACGTCCCTGGATGGCTTCTCAGTGGATGGCTTGGGTCATGCCCCCAAACCTGAGCCAACCCAGAAAAGGAATGGAAAGTCTCATTAGACCTAGTGAGCCAGTCATATGCCCAGCCCTCGAGCCCAGGCTGGGGGTCTGTCCCACTGAATCCAGGGGCTGGGGGCTGGGAAGAGTCACTGAGGAAATGCAGTGTGGACGCTGGGAAGATAACAGAAAAGGTGTCCAAAATGGAGCCGTCCCACTCCGTGATTCCACAGCCTCAGAGTGAGAGCAAATCCAGCTCACAAAGCCCGGGGCTGGCTGGCCCCAGGGGCTGTCACGGGCTATGTATAAAATCTTAAAGCGGTAGAAATGGAAGAAATGCTGAAGACCTTCTCACCCAAACCTCATCTTACTGGTGAGGAAGCTGGGTCCCAGGGAGGCCACCCAGGAGCTGCAAGGACAGAGCTGGGTCTGATTCGTGTCCAGGGTCCTGACTCCAGGCCTGCAAGTACCGTGCTGGCAAAGCCCAAGGGAGGGGAGCATGCACCCTGCCCCTCCAACTTCCCCAGGAACAATTTTTTTAATTCTCTTAGAAACTGTGAGAGATTCAATATCCTGGTTGCAACGTTATACTATAGTTGTATAAAATGCTTATCATTGGGAGAAACTGGATAGAGTGTGCCCAGAATCTCTCTGTATTATTTCTTATGACTGCATGGGAATCTACAATTATCTCAATAAAAACTTCAATTAAAAAATTGTGAGGGGGGGCCAATCCGGTGGCATAGTGGTTAAGTTCTTGCACTCCGCTTTGGCAGCCCAGGGTTTACCAGTTCAGATCCTGGGTGTGGAACTGCGCCACTCATCAAGCCACGCTGAGATGGTGTCCCACATACAAAACGGAGGAAGATGGGCACAGATGTTACCTCAGCAACAATCTTTCTCACCAAAAAAAAAAAAATACCATGAGAGGATTTTCAAAATGGCATGAAATCATATACCCAGTCAAGATGACACTGGCTGTGTTTGGCTCATCAAACCAACCTCTGAATCAAAGAGAGAAATATAGAGCAGTGATAGGAAAAGTGTTCAAATGTATCCGCGTGCATGTGTGGCATAGCCTCCCTCAGACACAAAGCAAGCGTCTCCCCGGATGAGATCAGAAGCGGAGTAGAAACACTCAACTCTAAGGAGATGCGGGCAGGGGGACTCTGTCGAAGCCAAGAGTCTGCTGCACTCTGGGACTAGGGGTCTGGGGTGGGCGGGGCGGCTGCGAACTCAGTCCTACAGAGTGCCTCATGTTCGGGCTGGCTCAGGCTTCTCTCCTCTGTGACGGGTCATAATTCTACACCCACGGCACTGGTACGGATACCAAAATGCTGACGGGTAGCTGGAGAAGCAGAGACGACCCGCGGTCACTGGTTGGAAACAGCACCTGTGACGTCCACGCAGGAGGAGAGGTCAAAGTGGCCGGAGAAAGAGCTGGCTCCAAACCGCCTCCCCTGGAGGGATGAACACAAGGGAGGGAAAAAGCACACACGCACACGCACACGCACACACACCTCATTTGCCTTCCCTCCCCTTCTTCTGCTTGTCCTTGGTGCTGGTTTCTGCTTTTCACTGAGCAGACAAAATTTAGTCTGTCCAAGACGGCCCGCCTTTCCGCCCCCAGAGGTTAAAGAAATGCCAGGTTGTTTTGCGGCCTGCTCCGGCACCTCTGTACCTGTCCCTCTGAGAGCTCCGTTAGGGAGAAGGATGTGGAAAGGTCCTCCGAGTTTTCAAACCGCTATTTTTCTCGAGAAGTTAATTGGCACGGCCCTCCTGCCCCATGTGCTCGAAGGCCCTGGGACATGTATGACCGAGGGAAGGGCGCAGGGAGCCCAAACTCGGCATCCTCCTTAGGAGCTCTCTAAGAAGGCATTTCACTTGTATCGTGTGTCCCAAAGTCATTCGACATAAGGCACCCCTCCAAAGAACCAACACAGGAGTTTTTGTCCTCATCTGAAAAAATGAGCAAGTATAAGAACAGAGAAGTCAAGAACTTTCCCTGAGGTCACACAGCCAATCAGTCAAAGCTGGGGTTTCACCCCTGAGTCCTCTGCCCAGCGTGCTTTCCCCTAAACCTTAGGGCCCCCTTCTCACGCTCTGAGTAAAGAATATCAAAGAGAAAGCTACAGCCCATTTTGTTTAATTTCCAGCTACAATCAAGGAAATCTCAGCTGTGCGGTATGAAATAATTTGAGGATACGTTGGCTTCACACCACTTAGCATAGCTCCAGGATTCCAATAAATGTTATGTTAAAAAAGTTTCACAGGGGCCGGCTCGGTGGCCGAGTGGTTAAGTTCACACGCTCAGCTGCAGGGCCCAGGGTTTGGATCCTGGGCGCGGACATGGCACTGCTCGTCAGGCCACGTTGAGGCGGCGTCCCACATCCCACAACTAGAAGGACGTGCAACTAAGATATACAACTGTGTACGGGGTTGGTGGGGGGCGGTGGTTGGGGAGATAAAAGCAGGAAAAAAAAAAGTTTCACGGACTGTGAATTGGAAGTGACCTGGGACAGATAACCTACTGTCTTCATTTCTCAGATAGAAAAGCTGAGGCCCAGTGGGGAGAGGGATTGGCTCCAGCCAGGGGCAGGGTGCGGGGCTCAACCAGAGCATCAGCATTTACGGAGCCCCTGCCGTGCCCGGCGCTGAGTCAGCACATCGGTCGCCGGATCTAATCCCCTCACGGCCTCGTGCAGAGGGTGCCTCGTCCTGCCCCGTCCCACAGGCGAGGACACAGAGGCGGGAGCGGTCGGGAGCTTGCTCACGGCCGCACAGTGCGTGAGTGGCAGTGTCTAGAGTAGAGGCCAGGTCAGGCTGACTTCAAAGGCGACTCTCAAGACCACGCTAGGCCATCCTTGCTCCACCCCGTAGTCGTGCAACTCCCAGAAGTGTTTTGCATGAGACAGATTTTGTTTTGTGCCCTGCCTCAGACACTTCCTGCCCAGATAGCATTTGGCTACTTAACCTCTCTGAAATTCAGTTTCTTCATCTGGGAAACGGGCTTTATAACAGCACCTACCATGCCGGGTTATTGTAAGCACTGCGATAACCTACGTAAATCACCCAGCTCTTGGCCGTAGTGGGCACTTCAAGTTTATTCTCATGCGATAACCAGCCTCTGAAAGGACCACAGCGCTCCCCGCCTCCTGATGCTCACATCCTTGTGTATTGTCCTCCCAAACTCTACCAGAGTCAGTCTGTGTGACCAGGGGAAGAGAGCAGAGGAGAAGTGCCATTTCCAAGAATAGCTTATGAAAGACGGACTCCCCTCTTGGTCTCTCTGTCTGTCACAGCACTTGGGGATGCCAGCAGCCATGTCACGAATGGCTCTATGGAGAAGAGCACATGGCATGGAACTGAGGCCTCTGGCTAACAGCTAGCAACGACCTGAGGCCTCCAACAACACGTGCGTGAGCTTGGAAAGGGATCCGCCAGCCCCAGTTCAGCACTCAGCCCCAGCTAACAGCTTGACCCCAAACTCATGAGAAAGCCTCAGCCAGAACCGAGCAAATAAGCCCCTCCTGGACTCCTGACCCTCAGAAGCTGGGTGAAATAATAAGTGTTTGCTGACTTAAATTGCTAAGTTTGGGAGTTATTTGTTACAGAAATAGTCAACTAACACACCCTCACTTGATTTGGGGCGGGGGGAGGTGGTCTGCAGGGTTGTGACGATAGATCTTCTGGAGGCGCAGCCTGAGCCCACAGGTACTGCAGGCCAGGCCAGAGACCCACAACCGCCTGATTAAGGTTTGTCCCCCGCACCCCTCCACGTACATCTCCCCCTGGCCTGCTTCACTGCGTCTGCATTTAGAAGCTGCTTTCAATTATCTTGAAACAGAATCCCGATCCAAGCCGTCAAGCAACAAAAACAAAGGTGTTTGTTGTGGGGGAAATAAAAGCATTCTTTGTGTTTACACGTCAGTCCTGGAGAACAACGCGAAAGCATTTTGCAAGTTTTCTTGAATTTGGGCTTCTGTTTTGATTTTTTTTAAGTGCAAATCAGCATCCAAGCCCAAATCTTGGAGTGGCAGAGAGATTTAATTAGAGAGTGGGATGTTTTACATAAATTTGTTGCTTTCTGTTGTTTCCTTAAGGCTGACAGGATCACCTATCTGCTTAAAGTATAACCAAGTGGGGAAATGAGAAGAGACAAAAAGACCTAGTGTCAAAATTTAATTCCAAACCATCGAGAAGCCTGGGGGTAGCTGCTGAATCTGACCTTGAAGTGGAGGTTCTTCGTAGCCAAAGGTGACCGCGTATTAGCAGACTGCGCCGTCAGCTTTCGGCCTCTGATAGTCCTAGGGACATTCACAGACGTTCTGGTCCCCCTCCTTTTGGGCACAGGGTAGGCTTGCGTTTGCAATTCTCCCTCCTATTTAAAGTTGTGCAGGACCATGTGACTTGCTCTAGCTAATAAAATGTGAGCAGGATGACATGTGCCACTTTCAGGTGGAAACTTTTAGAGACAGTGCCCCATTCCCCTCCCTCTGCCACAGAGATCGTGAAAGCATCTGTTGAGATGTCACCACAGTCAGCCCAGCTCACTGCCCCCTGATGAGCAGAGCATCCCAGACAGCCCACACTGAACATATAATAGGAGCAATAAATACATTTTTGTTCAATTAAGCTACTGAGATTTGGTGGGAGTGGGGCTGAGGGGGAGTGTTTGTTACACACCATAAACCGGCGTACCTGACTAATACACAGACTTAGAAACTAATCCATGACTTGTGCAATCTTTATTCATCTAGTGAACATTTACCAAGCCATTGTTATATCCTGGAGGCAGCCTAGGACAGTATTAGGCCCCCAACACTTGTACAATAAATGCTTGTTGAATAAATAAATAATCCTAATAATTACTGTTATCAGCATAATGCTTGGGGTATGGTAAATAACATTTGCACTTCATTCTTCCAACAACCCTAGGAGACCAATGCTACCACTATGTTCGTTCTTACATATAAGAAACGCATGGTCTAAAGAGGTTAAGTCACTCACTGTAAATTACATAACCAATAAGTTGCACAGCTAGACTTCCAACCCAGGCTATATCTGAGTCTATGGTTTGTGCTCTTAACCATTATATCACGCTGTCTCTGAACAAGCGACTGAACAAATGAGAACGAAGATGAAGTACCTGTCTTGAAAGGTTCTACGGTATGGAGACTGATATTGCGCCGTTACAATTCCAAGTCATCGAGCCTGGTGCGCCTGGGAAGCTTTCTCCGGAGAAAGTGACCTTTGAGCTGGGTGTTATAGAATAAGTTCAGACAATCTAACAGACAAGGAGGAGAGGGCATTCTTGGCTAACAGAATAGCACATTCAAGGGCATGATGGGCAGTACCACCACCAGGAAATAGACCACATTACAGGAATGAGAAATCGTGCTTTGTCATTCCCTACACCCTGGAACTGATCTGAGAAAGTCCTCAGTTATGACAAAGTAGCCAGTAGTGAGGGGAGGGAAGGAGGCACCCTGCTGGTGGCGTGCCTTTCAAGGCCACCATCCATCTGTGAAGGTTTTCTGAGCCTCTCCACCAAATCTGCCACTGTGGGGGGCCTGGGGCTGTAGCAATGAGTAGCTGGACATTGCAGACCTGAGCTGTAGGCGTCAGAGGCCAGTGTGCATCAAAGATAAGCTGCACAACCCGGGCAAAGCTCAAGAAGTCCTAGCCAGATGAGTGAACTTTGGGAGGATTTTGAACATGTGGCCAAATCCCTGGGACAGACGTCCGCCCTTTTCTCAGCCAGCCTTTGTCCTGGTGGGCAGCCAACTGTGGTAAACTGTGTAACTGGACCTCGGAGTGTCCAAGAGAAGCTGGGTCAGCGGGTGCTTTCTCCAAAGACAAGCCCACTTCCCTTGTCTTTCCTGGCCTCAGGGTGCCTTTTCACTATTGCGCTAGCATGGGAAGTTTTCTAAAAATGCCAGCAGCGTACTATGGGAGCAACGGTGTTTGAGGGCTGGTGGAAAGGGCTTCAGAGGCTTGCAAGAGGATCAAGTTTCCCAGAAGCTTGTGTCTGCTTGGCTCTGCTTCAAAGGTCACTAAATTCCTGCTAGACTTAAGGAGAAAGATTCCTCAAAATCCTTTTCACTCAGGGTGTGCAAGGTGAGGATTAGATCCAACACAAGCTGTCTTCCCATCTACTGCTCTCTCTTTTCCAGGGGTTGAGCTGGCTCAAGGATGCTCTGCCTGGCTGCAGAGGGATGGGCTAGCTGGGCTTAAGATCTGCAGCAGCAGCACTGAAAGGTCAAAGTTTCAGACCTCCAACTGACTGGACTGACTCCTCAGAAACAGACTGATTTGCCAAAAGTCAGTTAGTCAAAAGCTAACTTGCAAAACAATCAATCTTCCAAAAGACTAATAAATAGAAAGAAAAATTTACCAAGTTAGGATTTTTTTTCTAGATGCCCCTGCTTCTCAACCTGTGCCTGCCCTTCAAATATTTGCCTTAAAAATCTTATCAAAATGATCAGTCAACAAATTGGACACTCAATGAACTGGGCATTTGATGAATTAATTCTCAGTTAACTGATTTTTGGCAAATTGACCTATAATGGCTCCTTCACCTAGTGAATACAGAGGTTTCTGAACAGCTCCTCCCTCCCCAATCAGCGTTTGAGAGCACCTGTCAGAAAAGTTTCTATAATCTTGACCCACCTAGCCAGAAGCTCTTTGTGACAGAATATGGGAGAGTTGCCGCTGTCCTCCTCGGGGATGCAGCGTCCCTCCCCAGGTGGGCAGGAGGCTTTAGTGCTAAAACTTGCCTGCTATTTGTTTACTTAAATTTGGACACTTTCTCTGACCTCGCTGGAAAGTCATTATGAAAGAGCAGGCTCTCGGCGGGTACATACATTACAAGTGACACACTTTAAAAACACCTCGTGTAAGTCAGATATTGCCATAAAATGGAAATTGCAGCCACAAATTGCATACTTATTACAACAGTGTCTGATATATGAGGCGGCGTTAACACTGTATAACAGGTAGCTGAGAAGTAGAAAGTTACATGTGGAGCATAAAAGATCATTATTTTTCAATCCACAATAATACAATCTCTCTTATTTTTGACACCACAGAATCCTACATCAAAGCTGGAAAGACTCTTAGGGTCTTAACCCAAGCCCTTCCTTTTACAGGGGAGAAGGCTGAGGCCTGCGAGAGCATGAGACCTGCCCGAGGTCGCTTAGAGAGAGCCTAGCAGAGCCACTGTCTTGACGTCAACCCGCCAGGAGGAGGTTCGTGGCTCTGTCCACTTTCTTTCCTGAGTCTGTGAAGCCGGGAAACCTACTTGAGTCTCCTCTACAACAGGGTCCGGGGTCAGTCCGGAGGAGACAGGCAGGGGACACATGGCTTAAGCCTTGCCTCTGTGACCTTGGGCAAGTCATTTAATCTCACTGAATTTCCGTTTCTTAGTCTGCAAGATAAAGCTGATTTTCCCCACCTATCTCACAAAGGCGTCATGGAGAATTAAATGAGACATTCTAGGTAAGACAACTGAATGAGGCATTTGACCTAGCAAGAGCCAAATTCATGCCATTTTGTACCAGGATCTACGAAAGGGCCGACTTTGCAGACGGACGGGGAGCACTGTGGCACTTCAGGGTCAAACCGACGGGGCTGTTGTACTCAAAGGTCATATCCTCCAGCCATTTCTCCAGATGTGTCTCTGCAGAACCTTGTAGACCTGCCCCTCCTGGGCACTCACGGTGATGTGATCACTCTGCCCCCTGACTTAGACTCACTTCCAATTCCAGAAGATTTCTGATTCCAGAATTTGGAATTCTAAGGCAATTCAGTGATCCATTCACATACCTCTGAAACTCTGCCACCACTAACCCCATCCCCCAGAACGTAAGCTGCCTGAGGGCTGGGATGTTTTGGTCCTTCATTCCACAGGTGTTTATGGACAGCCTACTTTATGCCTAGTTCATGAACCAGGCACTGCTGATGCCATAACGCCCAAGGGACAAAACAAACTCCTGCTTTCGTGAGTTGAGACATGCAATTAAGTAGGGAAAAAAAGTAGAAAAGAAAACCAAGAAAATGTCAGAGAGTGATAGATACCATGAAAGAAATGTAGGTGGTTGATGTATCGACAGGGAGGCGGTGCGTGACCAGGGTGGCGTTCAGCCGGTATGCACAGATGCAGCTGTCCCAGTTGTGCATGGCCAGCATCTGTTTTGGATTAACCAGTGATTGTGCTATCCCTGTGGTTAGAAATATTTAACGCCACTGCTGGGCTGTGGTACATCATTAGATACAACAGAAGGCATCTTCGAGAGCACAGTATTGAACCAGATCTGAACAGTGAGAAGTTGGCCGTGGGTAGATATCAGGGAATTGCTCCAGGAGACAGGACCAGCACGTGCAAAAGGCCTGGAAGAATCTTGGAGTAAGAGAAAGCCAGAAAGAAGGCAGCCAGGTGACGAGAGCACAGAAATTACCAAGGTTGGCAAGGTGGGCAGGAGCCATGGACAGAATTTGGGGGGTATGCTAAGTGTGGGGAGGAGACAGAGAGTTTTAAGCAGGGGAGTGAGAGGATTCAGGTTTCATCTTTAAAAGAGCACCCTGGCTGCTTTTACAGAGAGGCAAGAGTATATCCTCAGTGCCTAGGATCGAGTCTACCCCACAGCAGGTTTTGAATTGTCATTACCATCATCATCATTAAAGAGTGAACATGCCTGTACCTTCTCAGGTGCTGAATGAAGCCATTCCCAATCTGAGCTCAGCTTTTTTTTGGATCCTCTCTCTATGACCGCTACTGAGCAAAAGTGAAATGTTCTCACACACTTAGGTGCTGCTGGTGCTAGAGGTGTTACAACAAGCCCCAGTGTAGATGGTGGTCCCTGGGGACTCACACACCAGGGGTCCTTGTGGAGCACCTCGTGCTGCTTCCAGGCAGAAATGGGCATGTCACACTTTTCTCATGCACAAACCTTAGCTCACAGAGGCCCATGCTGAGGAGCTCTCTAATGGGAAAATTGAACTGTCATTCAAGAAAAGTCCTGTTTGGGATTACATTAGCACCTCTGATTTTGCAGTCTGGAGTTTGTATGTGATTTTCTCATTTTGGTGATTGTACTGTTGCTTGTCAAAGGTGTTTGTCATTGTTTCTGTGAAGTAACTTCTCTTCTCCCTCAGGCCCCCCTTCCCCATCCCTTCCAACATTCCAGAGAGAAGGTCTTTGCCATCTTGCTGGGTCAGTGGAAAGCTCTCTGGGGAGGCAGGGTGTGCACAGGTGTCCTCACTGAGGTCTTCAGAAAGGGCTGGCACCATCTGTGGTGACACTTTTGAATGCCCAACCAACACCCCTTCCCCTCTTTTCCTTCCTACCAGAACCCAGATTTGGTCCAGGTGTGCATGCAGCCAAGTGCTTCACAGGAAACTCACCCCACCTCCAGCTCTGAGAGTGAGCCTGGTTGCTTCGAAAGTAATCCCAAACTCCCTGCAATGGTTTGCTCAAGAATGCCATGCGACCAAATGTGAGCCAACGAAAGAAAAGGAGAAGCTTGGGAGAGAACTTTGTTTCCTTATTCAACAAATATTTATTGAGTATCTATTGTGTTCCAGGCACTGCTCTAGGGGCTGGGAATACAGAACTTGCGAAGTTAAAAAAAAAAAAAAGGAAGGAAGAAATCACTGCTTTTGCGAGAAGAGACAGACAACAAACAAAATAAGTCATTATACGTACATACAAAATACTTGGCAGCAGTCAGTGAAACAAGGGAAAGTAGAACAGGGAAGAGAAAGGGAAAGCCCAGGGGCTGTGTTTTTAAATCATGTTCTCAGGGAAGGCCACTTGAAGGAGGTGAGGGGTGATTCCTAACGATGTCTTCAGGGAGAGCGCTGCAGGCACAGGGTCCTGAGGTGGAAATGGGCTTGGCGTGTTTGAGGAGCAGCAAGGAAGCCAGGGTGGCTGGAGTAGACCGGACACGCGGGATGAGAGCAGCAGAGGAAGGCAAAGAAGTGACGCCGGGCCAGGCCCCATGGGCTCTGCAGTCTGGGAAGGGCTCTGGCTGTCACAGGCTGTGATGGGACATGGAGTCTCCGAACAGACGGGGTCACGGTTTCACTCACGCTGCAGCAGGTGTGCTTTGGTTGCTGTTTGGGGAACAGACTGAGAGAAAGCAAGGACAAGAGCTGAAAGAGTCCCTCCTCCGTCTTCTGGAAGAGCTTCCAGAAGCTCCTTCTCTTGTCCTTTGATGTTATCACGTGTGGACGTGAGAGGAACTGCTCAGGCTCTCCAGACCCACCCGATATGAAGCCGCTCCGGGGAGAAGGTGGAACCAAGAGAAGTGCAGGGAAACACAGACAGAACTAGAGAATTCGGGCAACTGTGAAGCCCAGCTGGCACCTGAACTTCCAGTTCCGTGAGTCAGTAAACATCCTCACTGTTTAAAGCAAAGAGAGTTCTGTTTCTGTTTCTTTCACCCAAAATCTTTCTAACTGATTCATCATGCAACTTCACTATCCATCAATCACCATTTGCTCCCACCATGCAAGGTGTGGTTTCCCAGGCGATCTTTACTTAGTCGTGTGTAAGGTCTCAATTCAGGAAATGGTGTCACTTTTTTCTCTGTGAGTTATCTGTGTGTGTCCTTGCATAGAATCCTCCAACTTTAGAGTCCGCAAGCTGTCAGACTCATCATCTGTTGCTCAGTATTTGTGTATTAATTCACTCAACATTTATTGAGTCCTGTACTGGGCTCACACTGTCCTGGATGAGCAAGATCAACTCCAGCTCTCAAGGAGCGAGCAGTGTGCACGAGAGACAGAGATGTGCTGGTTACAAGACGTTGTACCAAGTGTCAAAAAGGGCTTTCTTGGGGCCGGCCCCATGGCCTAATGGTTAAGTTCAGTGCACTCCACTTCAGCGGCCCGGGTTTCATTCCTGGGCATGGACCTACACCACTCATCGATGGCCATGCTGTGGCAGCAACCCACATACAAAATAGAAAAAGACTGGCCACAGAGGTTAGCTCAGGTTGAATCTTCCTCAGCAAAAATAAGAAAGGGAGGAGGGGTTTCTTTAATGCAGCCTATGCATTAGCAAATACTTGACCCTCTCTGGGCCTCAGTTTGACCTTCTGTAAAATTACCCTTTCCAACTCTGAAAGCCCATGTGTCTGTGATTGATTGTAGCTTTCCTTTGGTGTCAGTCTTTGGAGTTAGCTTTCTGTAACAGACGAAGAACCAGAGGTCATGAAGACCTCTCCGTAGTTTTTCAAAACCAGAGTAAAAACCACAGTGACATGTCTCGTGACTAAGTAGGTTTAGCAATACCGTGAGACATATTTGGAAGTCACATACTTCCAAATATGTCCAATAAAAATTTTTCATTTTTAGTAATAAATGTAGTGATCCCATAACAAAGATATTAGTCATCAAGCTCCAGTATCAACCTCCAATTTCCAATTTCTCTACATTTCTCCCTTCTTAACCTCCTGCTTTAAGTGATACAGCACTATGGCTGAGTCCAACTAGTCTGGAGTCATACTGTTTGTTTAGTGTCCTCATTCTTTTTCACTCCTATAAATCAGCCAATTAATCATTCTGACTCCCGCCAACTTCCTTAAAATTCTTCCTTCGTTCCAGTGAGACTATATTTGGGTGGTTTCCCTATATGTCTGGAAGATAGCATTTCTAAGTCACCTTGGATGATTCCCCTTTATCTTTCCTCAATTATCTGGGAATGTCCCCAGGTCCTGTCCTTGGCCTCTTCTCCCTCTAAACTCACCCTTCTTGAACATCTTCCATCTTGTGACTAAGTCCTAGACCTGTGTTCTTATGTGCACCCCTTTCATCTGTGCATCAACACATGTTTCACACATCTCCTCTCCCTCCTTCCTCTCCTTCACTTTATCAGTTAGGATTCATCTAGAAATATAAAAACTATTCTAGGTGTTTCAAACAGAGATAATTTAATATGAAGAATTAGTTACTCAAGTGATGGAAGAGCCAAGAAATCAAACAGGGGACACCGAGGCAACCCAGAGACTAACTGCAGCCGGAAGATGCTACCACCCACAGGGCTGGAGGAATGGTGTCACCAGAGCCTAGAAGCTGGAGCTGTCCAGAAGGCCATACAGTCATGGCGGGAGCTGCCTGTTGGAGCTAAGTCTACAAAAAGAGAGGTTATCACTGCAACTGGAATCAGGGATGAGATGTAGACTGCCAGACATGCTACTAGAAACAGAGAGAGGAGGAGGAAAACTCTCCCTTCTCCTGTCCTCCTGCTCTCCAATCTTCCATCAATGTCTCCCTGAACTGGAAGTCAAAGTAGACCAGGAAATGTAGCTCTCTGTGACACAGAGCAGAACAGAAGAACAGGCAAATAGCCAGAAAAGCTTCACCTCTCAATGTCAACATTTAGTCAAGTGGCTTCATTCCTCAGTTCCCCAAATTAAGAAGCTAAGGGCTATGCCCAACCTTTTCCACCTGCTGCTTCTTCCCTCCACTATAGTATGTCTACAAGTCCTGTTATTTATTCTCTGAAATAAATTCCTGTTGACTACTCCTTCACCAGTTGTGCAGTCACCACTCCAGAGCAGGCCTCCATCTTCTCAGACCTGGTCTTCCTGTTTTCAATGCTTCCTTTCTTCCGGCCCACCTACTGGTTCCGTATCCTCAGTGGAAAGAGGGAGCCTCTGTCCCAGCAGATCTAACAAATCTCAGCTTTCTCTTTGGCCTGAACTTAGTCACATGCTCCTCTCTGAACCAATCACAGCGACCAGGGGTTTCAGTGTTTCTGATTGACTGCACTTCTTTCACATGCCCATCCTTGAAATCAGCCCCAACCAAATCTCATGGCCAGAAAGTGAGTAAGGGAGAGTACCCCTGTGGAAACCAGGG